AAAAAAAAAATGAGCATGAAAAATATAGTAACCTCCAAATTTATCAATGATTGATTTGCGAAACCACAAAAAAAAACTCAGACCCGGAAACTTTATTTACGACATTGATGAAACTGGACCTCGTAAAACAGCTCGTATACAATAAGAATCTACAATACGGCAAAATACCAGAAACGGATGAAATAGAACTTAAGAAAATTGGAAAGAAATTCTTTTACTTATAAGCAGTATACCAGGGTCCACATACCAGTAGAATCAACACCATTCCTACAGCAAATGAAAAACATACTAGGCCTTTAGGATGAAACCGAAGCTGGTTGATCAAATCAGTAAACAATAATAAAGTATTCAACACAAGGATCATTAATCATTAGAAAGAAATGAAACGCATGATCCTTTCTAACAAAATCACTAGGCACAAAAAAGTAAATCGATATTGTTTATATTTCATCGATGGCCTAACTTTGGACACCGGAAAAGATTCTCCTCCTCAACCCTTTTTGCCTCAAGCACTTATAAGTAGTTGACAAGGAGGATACCTCAGATTACAAATGTTTTTGCGACTTGAAGTTCGTTTACACGGTACAATAAAGACAATTATAAAGAACTATATAGGCATTTATCCCATCCATACACCGAGAAAGGCACCTAGGATTTCATAATAAATTAGTTTTCATTCGTAAATATTTTTCGTCATCAAATTCTTCCATGATAAATTTTCTTAGTCTTTGACCTTCTTTTTACTAGTGTCATAAACTAACATATAATTGGTGGAAACTGAATAATAGTAGCCAATGCCCCCTCTCTTGTGGTCATAGGTGAACAATGGTGGACGCAACCAACAGAACACTAGTTTCCAGTGGCCAGTTAGTGGTTGCAAGCAACTGCTTGACGAACATTGATAAGAAAAAAGTAGTCACTGGTAACACAGTTGTAACAAGCAACCAGAAATTATTCGTTGGTCAGACATCGTCAATCAGTTTGTAGTTACTGACAACTGGCCGGTGAGAGGTGCTGGTTCAATGGCAGCAGGTGGTGGTCAGATGGAATGTTCATCACTCATGTAAGTTGGTGTATGTTATGAAAAATGTTTTACACAAAATTCCAAATTGACTTAAATTTCCCTTAACAAAGAAACTTTTCCTGCTGACCAAATTTTTCATTGGCATACCAAATATTGGAAAGTGGAAAAGTGCAGAATGTTTTCATTGAAATACACAAATCATTGATAAGCAGATCTTCATCAAATATTTAAATTTTCCATTTTTGTTCTTCTCATTTTTCAAGGAATACAACATTTACAAGACAGCCAATAATCAGCATAACACACTCGACAGAAACCAACGGGATAGTCTAGTGTCGATGCAGCTCTTTGTTCTCCCACTATACAGGCATTTATGATATATGAAACTTTAAAGTCGAGCATTTTCAAATTTTCATACGCACTTTCTCAATAAGACAAGGTACAACACACAATTTCAAGTTCCATTCCAAGAATGAGAATGCGAATGGCATGCAATTCATCAATTCATCGTTTACTACTAACTCATGAAATAATTTAGTTCATATGCTAGAGGCTCAATAAAGATTCATTTAAATCAGGAGAGAGCAAATGAGAAGATACCTAATACAAATTGATAACATCCTAATTATCATTATTCCCCAAGCTCTCTGATTGAGCCGGCAACAAAGGAGTCCCGTTCTTGGGCAACTTTGCCAGCACTGGCCTCCGCATCCCGACCTCAGACTTCCCAAACAACTGCTTTCGCAACACCTCATGCAAATGTCCAAACAGCTCCTGCTTCAAAGACTC